TGTAGGAATCTGGGCTTCTGGAAGACACGGCTAGGCCCTCTTGCCCACCCTCTCCCCCGCTCTCTCAGGAACGCGGAGTGGCGCGCCTCCTCCTCCGGGCAGGCCCCTGGGCACGGGGCAGGGTGGCCTACCTCATCACAGACGTGCATGGAGAAGATGACCGAGAGGATGCCGGTGGACGGGTAGCGCCCGTGGCCCTGCAGCCAGCTGTCGAAGACGTACTTGATGAAGGCCGGGTGGTAGATCAGGATCTGCGGGGTAGATCAGGAGGATGCGGCTCTTCATGAGTTATGGTCGGCAAAGGACACGAAGCATCTATTAGGTGCCCCCCCACTGTCGTGGCCATGGGGACACAGCCGCGACAGACCTGACGAATACCCCTGCACCTGCGGGCTTCCGTGAGCGTGGGAAAGGTGGGCCCCACCTGCATCACTAAGGGACAGAGGGTGCTTGGAAGTGAAAAGACTGGAGAGAGAAACAAAGTGGAGAAAGGCCCTAAGGCACCGGGGCGAGGAGCTTGTAGAGGTGACATTTCAACAAAAATCCAAGGAGGCCAGGGAGTGAGACGTGAGGCTGCTCAGGAGGACGTTCCAGGGAACAGCATGAGGTGGACAGGGACAATCAGAAGACACGTACACCGAGCCACCCACTCTACCTGCACTGGCCAGAATCATCGCCAATCCTTCAAAGGACCCTATGTGCTAGGTTTCCTTCTCCTCGTGTTACAGAGGAGGAAACCGAGGCTCTGAGAGGTTAAGTCATGTGCTCAATGTCACACAGCCGGCAGTGGCCAAGCTGGGAGGGGTCCCAGTATCAGGTTTGGTCTTGGTTCCACCACCCCACAGCTGTCTCGAGGACAGCAAAGAGGACTTCTCAGGCAGTAGAGGGTGTGAGTGCATGTCCAGGAAGCCAAATTCCAGCCCCTAGGAATGGACCAGAAGGGCGGACTATGAGGTCCCTGGTGAACCGTTCATCTCTCAGTCTGGCCCTAAGGTCCTGCAGCCTCTGCGAAGCTCTCCCATCCATCCACCAGCTCCACCCTGTAGGATGCATGTCTGGCTTCTTCCCTGTGGCAGCTCGGCCCAGTGCTAAGGGTGGGGTGCTGGAGGAACAGGGGGACTTCAGTTCTAGCCATATCACGAACTAGCTGTGTGTCCCTGGGCAAGTTACCTGACCTCTCTGAGCCTATTTAAATATGACTGCACGTGCAAAGGGCCAGTGTGGTGTGTACTTCACTTCCTTCCTTCTTCTACCCTTTGCCCATCTCTTGGCCAGCCCCATACTGAGGACCTTTTGGGGAAGATGGGGACATGGAGAGACAGGAGGTGAGGTGTGGCTTTGAGAAGCTCACGCCATACAGGAGCGAGCCTCAAACTGCACCCTGCGTTGGCATCTCTGGAGGGCTTGCTAAAACCCAGACTGCTGGGCAGCATCCCAGGGTTTCTGATGTAGTAGTTCTGGGGTGAGTTTGAGGATCTGCGTCTGTGACAAGCTCCCAGGTGATGCTGGTGGTCCGGGGACCCCACTTTGAGAAACTCTCTCCAGCAGGGAAGCTCAGTGGGGTTGTGCCTCCACCAGCCAGGGGTCCTAGAGCCTTAAACACCTGAGCTTAGAATTAAAGGGCCTGATCCTGGACTCACCTTATCCTGTTTCACCTTGATCTTCGGGGGAACGGGGATGTAGGTGCTGCAGTTGGAGAAAGAGAAGATGGTTAATGTGGGGAGGGGGCCTCCTGGGCACACAGCTATGGGGCTCACATCTAGAGGGTGAGGTACGAGGAAGCAGGGGGCCTCTCCTGCCCCCCACACTCCTTCCCTCAGGGACACCACCTCCCTACCCCAGCCAAGTCCCCTCCCACAGCAGCTCCATTACAGACAGCAGAGGGTGATCTTGGCTAATTCGAGGAGGGTCTGCTGGTTCCTGCCCCCATGTAGGCTCGATGACAGCACAGTTGGAAAGTAGGGTGGGGGCCAGCAGCTGGGGCGCTGGCTGCGGACGGCCCACACTGCCACCTTCTCACCCGAGGGGCTATGTGCTCCCCTCAGTGTAGGTGGAGAAGCCCCCACCACGCTGAGCTAACTCTGGGGTGCACTTCACGCTCCTGTGGAAGGAGGCGCTGCAGAGACCACATCCTGGCCTGGCCCTCCCCTGCTCTAGGCAGCCCCCCTTGCTCTCCTGAGGGCACAGCCCCAAGCAGTGTCCTGGACCCAGGTCCCTGGCACCAGTTTAGCTCCCAGGAAGCCCAGCCTAAGATGAGGAGGCTTGTGGAAATCTGGACATCAAAGCCACTTCTCTGCAGGAAGAGTCAAGGGCTTAGGAATTGGCCCCAGGTAGGAGCACAGG